GGGATGAAAAATATCATACTACTCAAATAACCAAGATTTGACTATTTGAGAACATTTTCCAAAAGAAGAATTCCAAAAAAGTTAATGCTTTTTCAAAAAATGAGTGTTATGTAATTAAAAAATCACCTTGTATATTTTTTATTGTGTTTGTATGATAAAAGATTATTGATTATTTACAGCACAACTTCTAGATAATAATACATTTAATTGTAATCTAGGATTAAAAAGGAAAAATAATAATAAACAAATTGATTCAGACGGAAGTGATTCAATACTTCATCGCAATTACTATTTATCGTCCATGGATTTAGAGAAAGCTCCAAAACCTCCTGGTATTTCTATTATTTAGTATTTTATTAATTTTTTTTTTTTTTTTTAAAGACTTAAGGGCCGTTCTTACTACGTATGGCAAAGTGCTGGTGAGCACTATAACTGATAATAATTATCCTGTAGAATGCCACCATAGTGCAGTTAGCACTAACCGGCACTATGCAATACATTATAAAAACGGTCCTAAGCATTATAATGGTAAGTAATACCCTCATGAATCATGACTAAGCCCAAAAGCTGTTATATGATTAAAAAAAATAATAATAAAAATAATAAAAACATAATGTTATACAACTTGTTTAATTTTTCTAAGTTTATTTTAAAGCTATTAATAATTACTACAACTGATTTTGCTTTTCAGGCTTATTTGATATGTGCAGCAGTAAAGAAAACTCACCTGATATAGTGGAGCAATCAGAAATAAATTATGATAAAGACAATTCTGAACAAAATACTGGTAAACTTAATTATATATTAATATATTATATATTAATAACTATAATAATAATATTCTTATGCTAAACAGTATTGTCCCAAAATGTACAACAAAATTTAACAAATATAAGTCCAACATCTATATCAAGTTATAATAATATGATGGATAAAATGCAATGTATCAGTCACACATTAATGAAAGGTAATAAAAATGATTAAATTAGTAGAATTTTTTTTCTGGACCTTGTTTATTTTTGTATAAGAATGTAACTTGTATGCGATGAAAAGTAATTCAATTGTTTTCACTTTATTTGAATTATACAGTACCTATATTATATAATATATATACCTCCAATTTTAGTGTACATTTAATATAATATAATAATAATCATATATTATTATTATAATTTTTCCTATAATTTTATATTAATAAACATAATATTTTTTTTAAATAGCATGATATATACAAATGTATGCATATGTATGATATTTACAATATTATATTTAACATTGAATAATTTGATTTGAAGAAATTATAACACTATTATATGGTTAAAAATTAAAATACTCATGTAATGAGTAGATAGCACTGCTTTCTTTTGAGTATTTTGGGACGAATGTGAGGAATTGGTTCAGATGAATCATTAGGCTGATTGGGCGTTCAGTTAAGGTCTTGTGGTTACAAGTGTAAGATTTTGTAGTCGAAGCACTTTTTAAATTGTAGCAATATTTTGATGAGAATAAATATTTTAAATTTTATAAATTTTTCATTTCTAATATTTAATATTATATTAAAAAAATATTAAAAATATGCTTTGAGTGATGCAAAGTAAACTTGTATATCAATTCAAACATCACATTTTTTAAATCGAACAACTAGAAATAGCTTAATTTTTGTCAGGCGTATAGCTATTTTTCCTATGTTCCGCTTATGTTAGACAAAAACAAAAAATGATCGCTTCCAATCCCCTTAAATACATTTTCCACTCTGTTTAGAATTTAAAAAAATTGTAAATTGTTGTATTTTCAGTGTTTAATCAAATGGTTTCCCTTCAAAAGGATATAAATGTTATAAAAATTGATGTTATGAAAAATCAAAATTTAATAGCAGAAGTAAATGACAGACACAACAACCAAACAACTCAAAATCAAACTGTTGAAAATATAACTCGGTCAAATTTAAAAATACCGTTAGGGACCATGGAACAACTTGACAGTCTTGAAGACGATGAAGAACTAAAACAAATCTTAGTATGTTTTTTTTTTATTGTTATTATTTTATTATAATATAAAGTTTTTTTTTTCCTATAAATAGGCTAAAGTTATTCGCAGAAATGGAAAGTCATTTGACTCAAAAAGAACAACATATCAAATTATGAAGATAGTTTTTGAAAATCGCATGGCTGAGGGATTGAATATGGAAGGAAGAGGAGAGAAGCGAGCATTTGGAAAAATGGAAATTTGTACAATAATAATAGGTATGATACTAAAGTAAAAAAATTAGGTTAAAACTATACAGTAGAAAATCAATAATTTTAATAATTTTAATTTCATCAAAAACTGACCATGAGCACAACTTCTAATAGGTTAGGCTTAGTTTTCATAGGTATAGTATTAAACTGCCTCACAATCATCACTTAATCTTTACTTTACCTTTTCAACTAAAAACCTATATATTTTTTTCTAAATGACTAAAAGTACTTTTGGAAAGTAAGAAGATATCGGATTGACTTTTTAAATTCATTCAGTTATTTAGGGATACAGTTTTTGTTTATCGTTTTCACACAACTAAATAACTGCTTTTGATTTAATTTGTAATTAATAATAATAAATTACTTATTATTAAATCCAGACAACTTTGAGTTTTAGGAGCAGCTAATTATATATTATTTTATATTTTTCACAGATGCTGTGAAGTTCATGTTTCCTGAAGAATCACTGAAACTGATAAAAATGCATATGAGTGATTGGCTAAAGCAGGCTCCTAAGAGGAAATCCTAATAATATGATTATTGATTTATATTAATATAAAAACATGATTTTTGTGATTATATAAATACTAATATATTTATATATATATAACTAAAATTAATAAACTACTATAATACTCTTATAAAAATAAAAAGTGCATATTCTACATTTTCTACTGACACCTTTCTGGATCCATATAAACGTTACTTAAATGTTGAATTTGAATCCATGTAAATTATAATATTAAAAATGTACATAATATAAAGGTATTACCTACACCAAATATATACTACTTAAATATAAACATTATTTTTACATGTTTATCCACGAAGTTTATACTAAAATACACGTATATGATATACGCATCATATGCCAAATTCATACTACTATTATATACGTATTTTAAACATAATTTATATGTTGCTGAATACACCAAAATACTCGTATATAAACTAAGCATACACGTGATCTTTAAAAGTATCAATCCACGAGATTTATACTAAAATACACGTATATGATATACGCATCATATCCCAAATTTATACTACTATTATATACGAATTATATACGTATTATATATGTATTATACACGTATTTTAAACGTAATTTATATGTTGCTGACTACACCAAATATACTCGTATATAAACTAAATATACACGTGATCTTTACATGTTAATCCACGAAATTTATACTAAAATACACGTATACGATACACGAATCATATCCCAAATTTAAACTACTAGTATATTATACGTATTTTAAACGTAATTTATACGTTGCTAATTACATAAATATACTCGTATATACACTAATTATAAACGTAATTTTTGCCACTAATATATACGTATTTAAAACGTTGAATATACGTTAGAACTTACGTTTATTACACACATAATATACGTTGAATATCTATCTTTTGACCCAAAAATATCCATGATTTATATTAATCTTCAACTAAATATATTCGTTTATTATACGTAACTTAGATTATGTGTATCCGTATATTATACGTTTAATATATGTATATATTTTGTTTACTGGGTTATCGTATTCGCCGATACACAATAAAGTAAACATCTACGCCATGTTGCATAATGCATTACGCGAAATGAGACTGAATCCAAAAATAGATGTATTGAACATTTTCTAATATATAGTATATTTTATAACATTTTTAAATTAGGGCCACCAACATTTTTTTTGCACCCGGGCCCCAAGAGTTCAAGATCCGTCACTGTGTATAATATAGTCGTAAATTCCTAAATACGACCAATAACGACCAACTGTATCAGATAATAATATGTTCGATTATATTTCCACGTAGGTATTAGTTGTAATGATGCGTTTACGTAAAATACATCGCGTTCCGAAATCATCGTTTTTGCTTTCTTTAAAATTTTGATATTACGGAATACGAATCGTGTGTAATTTTGTGTTTTGCTAGTACATATTTGAGTCCCTAGTTATATAATTTTATTATGATGAGTTATAAACACAAATCTGGTGCGCAAAAAATAAAATAAAAGGATTACAGAGACAATGAATCAAAAAAAGGATAGCTATCACTCGGGAAATATATTAAACCTTCCACAGCTTCGACTGAGTTACCTATACGGTCTATTGGCCAGAAAGGGAACACTTTAACTGAACCTTTTCTTCAATTTTAATAAAAGATTTTATGTACCAAATATTATGTTTTTTTTTATTTAAAATTCATCCAACTTAAATATTAAGTATCACTACTGTATTAAAATGCTACACAGCTATATAAATCTCAGTAAAATAAGTATATATAAGTGACGGGGCCCGGAAATAATCAGCCCTGGGGCCCAAAAAAGCTCTCGCCGGCCCTGCATAGAATATTGAAATGTTACGGTAAATGATGTTACATCGGAAATTAACGTTATTCGCCGGTTATTTACGTTATTTACCTACGGATGTGGGAATTATCGTTATTTTCTAGTGAATAACGTTAATAACCGTATGATTTGGGAAATGTTGATTTTATTTTAAAATAATATCCAACGAGCAATGATAAAGTGATCGCTAAACTAATTGTGGTACTAATTGGGTAAATCAATAACACTTTATCTGCCACAGATAAGGTGGACACTGGGCCTATACAGTATACAATTACTATACATATTATAACATCGGTATAGCCGTGGAGATTACATTTTAAAATATCATACGTAACGAAAATTTATATAGATTATTACTTTAGTATGTGTACAACTGTCGTCGTATTTACCACTTATTTAAAATGGCTATCGATATTCAAACTGTTCGCACAACTTTCAACGAAAAAATGAAAAATATTCTTACGAGCAAACGATATGATAATAACTCATTTTTGTCTACTAAAGACTACAATGATGTTATTGAACAAGTTAAAAAATCAAAAATGTGTTTAAAAACTGTCGGTGAAGCTAAAACAATGAAGGACTATCGTGTAGTACGTAAGTACGATATTTTAAAAATAAATGGAAAAGAACGTCTTATTAGACCAGTAGCCGAAAAAAATGTTGTATTGTATTACGTTAAAATTTACGAACTGTTTGATATTCTTCACGAAACACATTCTGCCATCGTCCACGGAGGACGAAATCGTATGATGGCAGAACTGAAAAATAAATATTGCAATATAACAAACGAAACAGTTATGGTTTATTTAAAATTATGTGTTCAATGTCAGAAAAAAGCAGTGCACCAAAGAAGAGGATTAGTATCCAAACCAATTTTAGAGTCAACTTTCAACTCACGGGCACAAGTTGACCTTATAGACATGCAATCTCAACATTATAATGACTATCGTTTCATAATGAATTACCAGGATCATTTGACTAAGTACGTAATATTGAAAACCTTAAAATCAAAACGCGCTGAAGAAATCGCTTATAATCTTATCGATATTTATACGTTATTTGGGGCACCTGCAATATTGCAATCCGATAACGGGAGAGAATTCGTTAATTCGGTGATTAATGAACTTCATATAATGTGGAATGAAGTCAAAATCGTTCACGAAAAGCCAAGACATAGTCAAAGTCAAGGGTCAGTTGAACGAGCCAATAGAGACGTCCAAGAAATGCTAGCTGCTTGGATGGGTGATAATAATAGTTCCGATTGGCCATCGGCATTAAGATTTATTCAGTTTAAAAAAAATAGAGCTTTTCATGCAGGTACTATTAACATTTTACTTATTTTTATTAATAGTTAATAAAAATTGTTTTTTTTTAATGTTTATTATTTACATATTAGGCATAGGTAGAACGCCATATGAAGCGATGTTTGGCTGCACGGCTAGAATTGGTTTAATGTCGTCTAATCTTCCAAACGATGAAATAAAAGAGGTCATTACGGAAGAAGATTTAGAAAAAATAACCAATGAACCAATCACCGAAGAAGACGTAATCGGAAATGAAATCATAGAAATCGTAGAAAAAAATTCGGAACTTGGTACTTAAATATTTTTTAATTATTTAACAATAAATTTCCGAATTCTAAATATAACACAAATAAAACTAAAATATAAATATTTAAAAATTTCCATTGCAAGACTGGTTGTAATAATAAACGTTGTCCCTGCCGTAGGGGCTGAAAAATTATGTAATAGTAAATGTCATGGGAGTACAAATTGTAAAAACAAATAAAAAATAATAAAGCATTTTTTCTATTTTTAAAAATACCTATTTTGTAGTAGGTATTTGAGACGTGCATATCTGGTCTACAACAACAATTACCTGTGTATTTGGTCATTAATGTGATTATCCGGTTTATAACGATAATTACCTGTGTATTTGGTAAATAACGTTAATAACCGGTGAATTACGTTAATTTCCATTTAACATCATTTACCGTAACAACTTGTCCTAGTATCATGACATCATGTAATATATTATAATGTATTTAAACTATACCTTTCGATACGTAGGTACTTGGACCATTTCGGGTTTTGAATCATCATACGTTATTATTACTAGTAGGTACCTGTATATTTTTAAGTAACCATTACGTAATTCTTGAACTATTCAATATTAACTCTTTATTTTAAAACTGGTAAATTAAATATGGGGTTTTTATATAAACAAAAACACATTTTTGTTTGCATATCTAATTTTAACGTAAATACTAAAATATAAGTAAGCACAACATTTAGGTTACGTTACTTCCTCATACTTATGTAATACAATTGATATTATACAAATACCTATACAGGATTTTTCAATGGGGGGGGGGCTTGAAAATTAGCTACTATTTTATTTTTATTTTGTCCAAGCTAATAATTTCAGACGTTTATTTGAGGTATTTTAAAATGTTTGTAATTTTTCATCTTTTCTTGTAGAAAAAATAGTCTGATCATAAGCTTCGATGCCCAGCTAGTGTATGTTTTTGGAAGCAAATTGGATCTAGTTGGTACTTTTAGGAGGTCGAAATTGAAAATGCTCAGTGCTTTTAAAAATAATTGGAGAAAAAAAAATGAAAATTTATTTAAATTGTTTGGTAACAAGCTTGGTTATACCGTCCTCACTTGGATTGTATTTGATTAATTAAATTTTTTTTTCTATAAATGTCAATAAAAAATTATTTATCCGGTCAAAAAGCTTAAAAATGTAATACGTAAGTTTTTTTTATTATAGCTAATGCATTAACGATACATAGGCATCATGGTTATTTTTTATAAGCATTTAAAGTTAAAATTTCGTCAAAACCACAGTTAATTTGTAGTTCAAAACTTATAAAATATAAAATATGTATAGCTAAGGCTAGACAATTTAATACGAGGTCTTTCATACAAATAGTTCATACTTTTACCGAATATTTACAGATAATTTATGAAAATTGGTATGCAAATACAAAGTTTTTCAAAAATGAATTCATTCTGGTAAAACATAATATATGAAATTTACGTCTTGCTTAATATAGTTGACAGTTCAAATTTGATTAATATATTTTTGAAAAAGTAATAATAATATTGGCAATGGGGGGGACGCTTCTTCCCGTTAGCCCCCCCCCCCTGCGGACGCCACTGCAAATATAATATTTAACAAGAAACCAAAGGTTAATTTACTCATTATATTGAAAAAAATGTATCAATTGAATAATACTATATTCATTACCATCTACGACCTACTCGTATACCTAGTTGTATTACATTATTATTATATATGATTAGTAGAGAAACTCACTAGCAAAGACTTTCATGAATGTGCATAATTTTTTTCTGGTTAACTTAATCGTATGCTTCGTAAGTACACAATATATTTCACAACGTTTGTGATCTGCGTGATCAACGTTTTTGATGCATATTTTGACATTTTTGAGTTTAAAGGATATATTTTTGATTATAAGAGAATATTTCCTTTTTTTGGTTTTTGACAGTTTATCGAACATCAAGCACTTCGGTAAATATTTTACATAAATCAAGGTCAACAATTATATTAAATTTGAATAAATAATGAGATCTGTATTGGCTGTATTATTGTTTTTTTATACATATAGCCATATAGGTAAGTACATAGAAAATTGAATTAAGAAAGTACCTAAAATATATAAAATATTTTTAGTGTAATATGGGCGGGTAATTTTTTTAGGGCATATTAATTAACTGCATATTTTTAGTTATTTGACGTAAAAGTGTATATTTTTAAATTAAATTAATACATAAATTATAAATATAATTAAAATATTATAATTTACAACTTTCTAATGTTCACATTTTTTTTTTATCATCCCTAAAATTATTTTTGATTATAAAACATGGTACTTATTAATTTAGTAAGTAGGTACATACAACAATAGTAGGTATACCTAATTGAATGATTATTTTTGTTATTAAAATAGGGTTGAGATAAGTGTAATATTTTTTCTTCTTTGTTTTTGATATACAAATTTACTAAAACGTTATAACTCACTTAAAAATTAAAATATCGTAAAAAACCAACGAGAGAACACGGATAATGTTGTTACCTAAAAGTTTGATAATAGGTCGATTCACTCTAATATCAAAACTGACAATACCCTATGGAAACTAGCAAATGACAATTTGGTATGCCGTACTTGTGTAAGACGGAGACAACACATCCGGGTGAGACGTCCTCTTAATGCAAATGCACTGTTGATCGGCAAACAATAAAATAAAATATAAAATATAATAATATAAATGTATAATTAGAAAAACCAACAATATACGTAGGTGTTATACAGAGTGTAATATTCAAAAATCAATACAAATAGTATTATAGTAAAACTACTGAAAATAAAATTACGTAGTTACCTAGGTCCTACATATTATAATACACAATATAAACTATAATACACTTCTAACTTCTTTAACTAAATATTATTGTTATTTTATTTCTTTAAAATATAACTGTACATACATTTGGTCCATTCATAGGGTTGTTAGCGAAATTTTATTAAATTTGTTTTTTATAGGTACCCAACATTTGGATGAGCCACTTTGTGGATAATCCTACAATGATAAAAATTACCAAATTTGTATAGATTGTAACTAGGTTATCACATACGTATAATATAATTCTATACATAAATCATAAATAGGCCATTAACTAGTTAATATCTAAGATGCATCAAGATGAATGATAATATAGCCTTATATAGGTATAGGTACCTAACTGCCATTCAAGATTAACAATTGGTAATGACTAGGCGTTGGGGAAGGCCTAGATGAAAAATGTACTTCAACATGTACTTTTATAAAAAAATAGGTATTAAGTTAAAGTTTCTATTGTGAATAAAGTATTCAGCCCCCATAGCCCCCTTTGGTACCTAATGACAACATGTTAATATTTATTCAAATCATTTTGGTTTTTTTTTTATTTTTATTTTAGAACCATTTAGTTGATATAACTATTAGGAACAATTCTAGTTTAGCGTCTACTCGAATTTTTCGATTTTTTTTTCGGAAACCTATGTATTTCGACGAGTTTAAAACGATGGTGTAAAAATTAGTTTGCGGAAATGATTATTTTGGAAGTTACAACCTTCCAAAGTTTGCGATTTTACGTTTATACGCATATATATATAAAAGAGAAATTAAATGATAAACAAATTGTATGTTTCATCTGCACTTGCACCAACATGCACTAGAACGATTATCAGTGAACCGTACCAGTGCCACTTTGGTGCGACAGTGCGGTCAGGTGGAAAACGCTATTAATAAATTTGAATATTATTTTGTTTTAATGTTTTGTTTATGTGATAATGTGATATTACCTACTTATTACCACAGAACAATATTATGATTTATGACTATTGACTTTAGTTATAACTTATTAGCGGAATAGCGTGGTTACTGGTTATTACTTCAGTTATTTAGACAGTCTGTAATTAAAAATATATTTACAAGAATACTTCCGCCTTCCACAGTCTTAGTCAAGTATGTAATGATTATATTTTATATTGATACATAATATTTCTATTAATCTAATAGATCCAAGTCAATATATCATTGCTTAATGTTACGTCGTTCGTTTTATTGTTCAAGGACTATTTTTTTGGTTAATTGGTATGGAGACCCGGCATAGAAGAAACCAGTCAGCGAAGTTGATCAATTTATCTAAAAAATATAATACATTAGGTACTGTTAATTAATAAGTAATATTTACCAAAGGATTCGTCTTCTTTGCCATTACTTCCCTATGGCATGCAGCCTGACTGAATAGAGTCAAACTCTAAAGTAAGACAATGGGTGCATCATGTAAATAAACACAAGTTAGTATACCATCCAGACACACTTTTTTGTTCGCAAAGGTGGGTACCATAAGCTATATTTCATAATATGTTTATAATTGTTTACTTATTATAGTATTTTATTAATATAATTTTATTTTTTTGTAGTTTTTTTTTAGGTAGACCATGATGAAGAGCAAAAGAATGAGATTTCTAGCAGTGGTATAAAATATGATGAAAATGTTATATTACAAAATAATTCTGATAATATATGTACGACAGATTTTATGAAGTAAGTAAACAGTTTTTTTATCATATTATCTTATATAGTACAATGTTGTCATATATTCACTTGGGTGAAGGATGCTAATACATCTCCACCCATTGTCTCTTTATTTTTTCAAGTATTGGTACCATTTCTTGTGATATTTATTTGTTTATACATACAATTTGTCTATAATATAGAATTATTTCTTTGATTGTAAATAAATAAATTATAAAATTGATTTAAGGTTAAACATCAAATTTCAATCAATACTATGCTAGTTAAGGAACAAATGCACTTTACCACGCCCCTCACGAATTTCGAAATTTTTTTAAAAGACGTGTTTTTCAACGCTGATTTCAAAATTGTTTGAATTTTTGTGCGAAAACCATTATTTTGGAAGTCATAGCCTTCCAAAGTTTGCGATTTTACGGTTATACGCATGCGCGCAACATTACTATAATGCCCCGCGGAGGACGTCAATATTTTTATATAAAAAGTTACTAG